ATTACGGGCACGTGCCACCATGCCCAGCCCAACTGATATTTTAAAGTAAAAAAATATAAGATTATTAGATCATAACATTAGTTTCAGTACATTTTTTTATTGCATAGTACATTATTAAAATTTTAATCAAAATATTAATGCACACTTGGCATATCAAGACCGAACAATAGGATTTTGTCAATAAATGTGCCTTTATTTGCATATTTACAGTGAAAATCACCTTTCTCTCTGCTCCTCCCTCCTTTCTTCCCTACTTCCCTCCCTTTCTTTATCTCCCTGTGTTTTTGTACAAAGAGGTGGGGTAGCCTGTACTGTACCTTTTGAAAGATACATAAACCATTTTTTAAAAATTCATTTACAAAAATGATGATGGTTATAATCCTATATAACATACCCTACAGAACTGCCAATGCAAAATGTAGTTGAATGACACATGAACCTACAGGTTTTGGACTTTGGTGAGTTTAAGCCCATAGTTGATGGGATTTTCCCCCATTCACTGTGTCTTTGTATGTATGTGGAATGTTTTTCTCCATAAGCAGTCAACAGTTTCTAATGTTGGTACTTCATTTTCCGGAATGATTGCCCATCTCCCTCAGGTGCCCAGCAGGGGACCCCAGATAACTTCTGTTAATGCTGCAAAGAATGCTGCATCTTAAGTTAGTTCAAAACCTGCTCCCCAAATTTAGTGTAAGTCTGTTTAGCTATTTCTTTTGTGATTTTTAACAGCCAATCATTTTATTTTAGTTATATTTAAGATCATGGGCATTATTAGAAAATATACAAATGGATTAAATAAATTGGTCTTAAATAATATGCTTATCTAAAGTTTTAAACTTAAGATTATTTCTGTTTTGTCTAAGATAATTAAAAAATAACAAAATAATTAAAAAAATTCTGTCCATGTACTTGTGATTGGGTGTTACTATTCAAGAGTTTGAGTATCAAAAGTTGGACTACACTTTAAAATATTGTTTACTTTTTAGGGAAGAAGCACTGTGGATTAACTTACCCGTACTGCTGTAACAAAGTGTCACAGACTAGGTAAAGTAACAACAGAAGTTTTAGTTCCACAATTCTGAACGCTAGAACAGGAATGAAGGTGTCAATAGAGATGAATTCTTCTGGAAGCTGCTTTCATTGCACCTCGGCAGCTATTTTCTCTCTGTTGTCTTCACATGATTCATTCTCTATGTCTGGGTCCTCATCTCTCTTTATATGGATGCTGATCATATCGGAGAAGGACCTACCCATATGGCCTTGTTTTGTCTTAATTACCTCTTCAAAAGACAATAATACACTCTGAAATCCTGGGAGTTAGGACTTCAACATGTGAATTTTGTGGGGACACAATCCATTCCATAATATTTTCACATCGTCAATGAGCATACATGTCATGCTTACTTAGGTAAATGACACAAATGCTGAAGGGTGAAACTGAGCCAGCACCCTACATGTCAAGATTCCAGAATAATGTTGGAATTCAGGGCCTGGCCTGGGATAGCATGTCCCTCCAGGTATCCTCTGGGACTGAGGTGTGTGCTAGTGATTGCCATCAAGCCAATGAGGAAAGTACCTATGTTTGCATCGCTTTCTAGATTAAACAGAGATGAAAAGACAATGAAACATGAGCAAAAGAAGTCACATCAGCCATAAGTCACATTCTTTCCAATTGGTAGTAAAGAGGATTACACTTTGTCCTTGATTGACTGTCATGTTTTGTTTTCATGTTAATCATATTTACCAATTTTGTACACAAAATAATTTAGTAAATAATTCACATAAAAAATCAAGAGATTTTCAATTTGTCAAAGTATTCTTTTCCTTTGGTAAGTGAAAAAATCCAGAAGGGTTTTGTAGTTGGGGACAATAGGCTAAATCAATGCAGAAGAATTTAAAACTGCTAATTGAAGCATTAAGTATCTGTCAGTGTTCTGGTGATTTGGGGCTGAAATCCGCTCTCTTCTTTATTTTCCTTTGTCAGCGGTGTTCACCATGGTAACTTCAATAAAAGTCCCCTCATGACTGTTTTTCTTCTAAAGTGCCAAGCACCTTTTTAAAGTAGGTTGACAACCTGGTAGGAGTGGGTGTTGGAAAATAAATGACAAATATTCTGCTTTCTTCATGATTGGTGTGGGTGGCAGCGGGTGAGGAAATTATTGAGAATATAAGAATAAAGAAAACATTTTATATTGTTTGGGTATAAAAATTAATTTGTTGGGTTTTTTTTTGAGGTAAAAAAATGAATTCAAATATTCTATTTCTGATCTTAAAACAGGAACGATATTTGTCAATAGAAATTCACGAACGAATATGGAGTATGGAGAGATCTTGCTGAAACTTAATTCAGTAAGTTCTGCTTGGGTCCAGATTCAACTTTCTTGGGGTCACATGGGAAAATTTTATTAAAGTGGAACTTTGCACACACCATCAAATTCCCCTGCTTCCCTCTAATTCCTCCTCCTAATGTGGAGGTGGCTGGAGCCCAGGGTTCTTAGTCACATATTAGCATCAACTAGGGATTATTATGAAAATGCCAGTGTCATGGCCCTACCCATAAATTATGATTTATTGGTCTGGGTTGACACTCAAATATAAAGAGGTTTTCTTTGTTTTTTTTTTTTTAAGCACTAAGTCACTTGTAATATCTAGCCAGAATTGAGAATTATATTCATTGATATCAGTGGTTGCTTCAAATTCTACCATTCTCAGTCATTTGTCTACTAATTGACTTCAGTGGGCTGGGCATACCCATAAAATATCTTTGCTTTCATAATTATTTATTTTTCTGTACAGGACTCAAGAAAGATAAGCATTAGCTTTTCATTTAAGGAATTTAGCATTGTTATTCTTCTTTATCCCACTAAATACTCACAATAAGCCCTACAGTTAATGTCAGTGTTTACTGTAGAAGCAATGGTTTTATTTCTAAAACATTGGTTTTCAGTTTATTGCTTAAAGGTTGATTAAAAGGCTAACTTGATCCAATAGAATATATTTGTTATGTGTGCAGAAATGGCGAAGATAGAACTAACAGTTTCACTCTCTAGTGACTATAAAACTGTTGACAGGTAGATAAGTTTTCACGTTAGTATTTTAGATTTTTATTTTAGATTTTTATTCTTGACAGCACTTTAGAATTGCCTGGGAAGGTCTCTAAAAGTCCTCATATCCAGGGTGTGTGCTAAACCAAATCAGAATTGCTGTACCAGGCACCAGTTGTATTGTTTTTTTTTTTTTAATTCCAAGGCAATATTCTGAAAATCGAGCCAAGCCAAGGTTGAGAATTTCTTGTTCTAGAATGAAATCCTGTGGACAAACTGTATTGAGCCAATGGCAAAAAGCTAAGAGCAGGTTCACCATCACCTTGATTACAAAATAGCACCTTTCATGTCCCTCTGGATAACATCATATAACACCGTGGGAGTACATATTCTCCTTTGGCTAAAATTTCCATAGTGAGGAAAGTTTTCTGTTCATTCAAGTGTTCTGAATCACTAGTCTACAACCATTTTTTTTTTCTGAATACAGCAAATGAAATGTTTCCTTCTTCAGCTGATGAATAAAATCTAGGCCAGTCTTTTCACAGGCCCCTTTCAAGATGATTAAAACAGTAAGTAAAAGGAGAAGAATATACAGAATTTTTTTAGGATATAAATTTGTTTGGTCAAATGACAAATCAAAAAGCCTCAGTGAAGTATGCCTTTTAAGTTTCCGGTTGATTGCTTGCTGGTAAGTGAAGATGCATCTCTGCATGGGTCCCGTCCACTGCAGTGTAGATTGCAACATTCACTGTAACGTAAAGAGCCCAAAGCCTCAATACTGTGGTATGAAATGTATGCTTAATTGTCATTCTGCAGCTTGGTTCTGGTATGTCCCCAAAGCCTATAAATCATTATCAAACAAGAAAATCAAGTAAACAAGCTCTCTGCCCTGAATCTGATCTATACTATCATCCTCCAGCATAAAAAGGTATTCACTCAGATGGCTAGTTAAATGCTTTAATAATGAACTTGGATCAGAGAAATGATTTGCTAATGCTTTTACAAACACAGGGAGTAGGAGAGCTGATTTCCTTCTAATCACACATGCCAAATCCACTTGTTTTCAATGGCTTGGACAGAAAACCAAAGCTTGGAAATTGATGATAAAAGTATTAATAGAAGTAAGTTTTTTTTTTTTTTAAGTTTCCTTCACAAATTACATCTGAGCTCTTTTTCCTGAAATGACCGACATGCTGCAAATACATTAATAAATTATGGTCAGTTGCCTTTTATTTTTAAAAATCACACAAAACAAGCAGTTATTTAGAATGAAATAGTAGGTTTAATATTCATAAACTTGAGAAAGAACTTGAACTGAAATTCAATCTGGGGTCTGAATTAGCACCATCTGTATATAGAAAGAATTCAATATATGGGCACAAATTAGTTGTATTAATATATATAGGTAAAACAGATTTGTTTTTGTCAATATACTTGTTTCTATAGATGCTTCTGGGATTTGAGCTTATTTTTATTAGTCAGCTGGGCATGATACAGGTTGCACACCCCTTAGTTCTAAGGCCTTGGCAAAATTAACCTCCAATGGCTTCCCGGTGCCTTTGGTGAGCCTCAGGGATCGAATGCAACCTCGGAATCTAATGTTGGTTGTCAGGCCAAACTGGTTGAGGCCAGCTGAAAAGACAAAACAAGAGAGTTTAGAATTTTTATTTTATTTTTGGCTTTTTGGGATGAAACCTAGAGCTTCCCACATGCTGACCAGCTCTTCCACTAAGCTACATCTCTAGCCCTGAGGGTTCAGTTTTGAAATGTTGCTGCATTAAATACTAAGAACTTCTTTCAAAGTCAACAGTTAGTTTAAGAATAAATTGGAACACTGTCTTGTATAAGGCAAGGCATTTTGTTTTTTGGTTTACTGGATTTATAGAGAGAAATACCAACTTTTGAAATATGGAAACATCTGGAATTATGCATTTGAAGACATCAAACAAATAATGTGGATTGGAATGAAAAAATTTACAGTGGTGACTTAAAACTATAAAGTTTTACTTAATGAAACAAAGTAACATCAAATATTTCAAATATTGAATCAGGATATGGGTTGATTTTAAAAGGTGACTTTATCACTTCTTATATTGGAAAAATAAATCTCAAAATGTTCAGTAAGTTGCAAGCACACATAAAATTTTCTTCTCTTTATTAAGGAGGGCCATCTGTCAGCAGGCTGACTTGGTGCTAACTGGGACCTTATTCCATGACTGTGAATGGAAAAGAGGGTTTATCTTGGTTGAAGAAGTAGGTCTTTTTTAAAATCCAGAATCAAGTTGGAAAAGGGAGCTCTCAACTAGTCCTCGTTTACTTTTATATCTTTTGCTTTGTCGACTACTACTGAAAAATATAAATTGTGTATGTTGTGCAAAGGAGATTGATGTAAATGAGAACAAAAGTTCCTCTTGCCAAAATGATGAAAGACCATTCTAGGGGTTTGTGTTATTATAGTACTTATTAAGGGGGAACTGGGCTTATTTCTCATGAAGTGGACGACTCTTGCTTATGGGTACTTTAAGCAACTCTCTGTGGTTCACAGGCTATGTTTAATGTTCTGGGGAAAGATTTTGAATGCAGATTTATTGCTTGGGTTTCTCTGTAAGATAAATATAAACTCTATAATAACCTAAGGGGGAAATTAGCTATATTTAACCCAGTGATTTCCAGAACTTGAGGAAATAAGTTCCACAACATTTTATGATCCCTCTGGTATATTAATTTAAAAAAAAAATTAGAAAGAACACCAACTCTGGCCTCAATTGCTATTAAATGCTTCATATCTTTAATAAGTCAAGCTCATTTCCTCTAGGTTTCACTTCTTCTTGGATGAAACTTTGGGGACCATCATGAAAAGTTCAATCCCATGTGTTCTATGTAAGTCATATGCTCATTTTATAGACTGGAAATTTGAGGTAAAGTGTTATATTTGTGAGGGGATTCTTAAAGTTAAGAAGCAAGTGTCCTTAGGCACACATTTTTGGACATTCCCATACAAATATAAATATTTCAAAACCACAAACATAATAGTGCAAAGAAATTCTGACCGGAGTAGCCAATCATTACCTGGGAAACCTCCAACAAACACAGGGTCATTTGTATCCGCTGACGTAGATGCTGGGTTTGGGCTTTGGGCTTCCACCTGGTTCCCATCTACTGTGAGCTCAATGCGGTGTTTGATCTTGTTGGCTGTGACTCTGTGCCATCGTCCATCACACAAATATCCTGGGATCCCAGCATCGTAGACAGCAGTGAATCGGCCAGCACCATTGTCCACATGAAACATAAGCTAGAAAGTAGGAAAGTGAACAGTCCCAGATGGTTTCCTTAGAGGGGAGTCATGACAGTTCACAGAGCAAAAA